AGGGGCTGCAGAGAGATGGTCCAATTCCTTCCTGCGCTTTGCCTTCGACCAGTGACGCCGTTGCGGATCCCGAAGCAGTGAAGAAGGGCGTCTTCAAGCTCAGCAACGACGGCACGCGTGGACGCATTGACGCGGAGCTCCTCTCGCTCAGCAGCAGCGGCCCCGCCGCCGCTGAGAAGCTCATTCGTGACTTCGCCAAGAAAGCCGGCAGCGTGACTTACAGCGGAGAGGACGAGGCCCATCCTGCAGCCATCACCGACGACACATTCCCCGCCGCCCACACCCTGCAGCTGCTGGGTCATGCCCTCGCCGATGAGGCCAAGAAGAAGCGGGCAGTGGAGATCGCCTCTCACATGCCCAGCCTTTCGCGCATCGACGAAGGGAGTGCTGCTGATGACGGCGTGGTGTTGCATGCCCCCGTCCGTGACCTGTGGCGCTGGCTCGAGCGGCTGCACGTGGAGTTGGTCAGGAGGGGCAAGGAGAGGCGCCTTACCCTGGGCCTCGAGCTGAGTCCTTCCGCATTCCTCGAGCCCCTGAGCGACCAACAGAGTCCCTGCCTGTGGGGGTGGGACTCTCCTGACAAGCTGCCGCCGATCGAGACAGTGTACGTCAACATCGATGGTGAGCTCACCAACCATCGTATTGGGACGGCCATTGGCCATGGCATTTGTGTATGCTGTATGTGTCTATTCGTTTCAGGCACTTCGTTGCCTGAAGACGATGATCGACATAGAGAGAATGCCAAGTTGAAGACATTCTACCGGCATGTGATGGCAATGTTGACTTCATTCAACCAAAAGCTCAAGGTACGCCGCACACCACACCCTCACACAGGTAACTGTGTCTTTGACTTGTCGTGGCTGAATGAATGACAGGGCCACAAGAGGACTGAGGTGCGCAATATCAGCAGGGTCCTGGGGCCCGACTTTGAGCGGCGTTTCCTGGATCAGCAGGCCTCTCTCAACTTCAGCGGCGGAGCATACGAGTTTAGCATCGCTAACACTTCCCTGACTGTGGAGCGCCGTGATGCCGCTGGTCAATCCAATGGCTCTTCGTAGGTAAGAAAACGCGAATCTCACACACCAGCCGCCCAGCTGCCCGCCGAAGTGCCTGTCTGTCTGTCTGACTGAGGTCTGTCAGATTAAATATCGGGCACCACAGACAGGTGCTGCAGCTGGTAGCCACCAACCGATGGATGGATGCTGCGTGAGAAGGCTGCTGACGGCGTGGCGCGGCATCATCTGTATGTCCGTGTGGTGCATAGGGGAGGCACTCACTCACGGCCGTCAGACACTGGATGGACAGCGGGTGTTGGTGTGTGCGCGGCCGTCATCTGTCTGATGGCTTCACGATGATGCTTTTCGTCGGTGTCTGCTTCGGCGGATTCGTATGCGAAACTATCCACTCATTCCACTCCCACTCGAGGCCAAACGCAAGCTCAAACAACACCCCTCCCGAGTTTCACTCATCCCAGCGGTCGACTGCTGCCGTCTTTGTTGCTTGATAGCTCTGTGTCTGGTTTTCCCTCGCCAGCACACGTCGCCGTCCGCCATGGACGTCAATCAGGTGAGTTCGGACACTCGAGGGCTCAGAGGCTCAGAGGGCAGAGCAGAGGATGACACACGCACGAACAGAAGCACGCCACCATCCTCCGATTTCTCCTCTTTGATGTGTTCGGTTCTGTCTGCGTTCAGTTTGTTGCGAAGGCCCGTGCCGTGAAGGACAGCTTGGCGCTGCTCCTCGACCAAGATCCCGCCACCATCGCCGCACAGGTCGGCAACACTCGCTGATGGAGAGGCCTGGATGACAGAGGGGCCGCCCACTGTGTCCTTGGTTGATGCAGGCGTCGTCGCCGGTGGGGTTGGCGTTGAGTTATCAGCTGGGTTCCGTGGCCTGCCTGCTGGATACTCTTCCCCTGAAGCTCCAGCAGAGAGAGCCCAGCCTCGCCAGTGCTGTAGCTGTAGATGCACACACCTCGACCACCGAGGTTGCCGCTGCATCGGGAGCGTCAGACACAGAGCCACAGGTGGGGTGAAGTGTGTGGCCGTCCATTGCCATATGTGCATAGATCCGCCCTCTGGCTTGTTGTGGCTGTCATGTTGTCTTGTTGCATTGCAGGCGCCTGTGGTGAGTGGTCCATCGTATCGTCTGATCCATAGAAGCGGCAACCCTCCCCCCGTCAACCAAGGACCGGTAAGAACTGAGAACGACACCATGATACATCTAAACCATCTTGACCTTTGTGTCATGTTGGTTGTCACATCAGGCCCGTCGTCGGCTGTCGCGTGACGTGTTGGCCAACGTGTTCGGCCACCTGCAGCCTTGGGAGCTCACCCGCTACCGCCGGCCCCTCGGCACGCCCCTCTTCCATCAGTCGGCCGCCAACTACACCAAACTGGTCATCGACTGTGAGGACGACACGGCGCGGCAGATGTGGGAGACCATGCCCCTGGCCGTGGCACACAGATGGGGCAAGAGGGCGACCAACGTGCGAGAGATCAAGCACCGCCACCCCGAGTGGCGAGGCGAATGGTGCCGCGGCACCTGGGTGGCCCTCGTGGAGGGTCATGGGAGTGGCCGGGCGGTCATCGCAGACAAGAAGCGACGGGAGAGGGAGGGCGGGGAGGGCACAGCTGACGCTGCGGCGATGCGAGACGGTGACGACCCCAGATCGGCTGACGAGGGCACATTGGAGGTGTTGCCATTCGAGGAGGTCAAGCTCGACAAAAGCGTTGACATCATCGACCCTCGCCCCTCATATCGTCTGCCCCCCGCCCCCGCCGGCCCCATCCACCTGCCGGCACTCAAGACGGTCGACAACATTAGCAGCGAGTGCCTGTATGCTCGCGTGGGTCGCCAGTGGCGGACGCCCGCTGTCAAGACGCTCACCATTCGAGGCGATTTGCATGAGTCAGAGGTGGAGGGTGCGAGGGCGTGGCTGGGTGACTGTGAGGCGATCGAGGTGCTGGACGCAGACGAGGTGGCCGGTGTGCCAGCCAGTGTGCTGAGTGCGCTGCCCGCCGACGGGAAGTCGCTCGCGGCGCTTCGCACACTGCGCGGCATCCGGCTGCTTGTTGGTACCCCCGCCGAGATCGACAGGCTACGTGAGGTGCTGGTGGCGAGGGGCGTTCGGCGGTCCATTCGCGAGCTCAAGATCGTGTGGAACACACTGAGCAACACAGACGAGGACTGGGAGAGACTGCAGAAGACCGCACAGCTCGTGTAAGGACACATCAGAAGGGAAAGGGGTCAAGCCTAGATGCGCTGCGTCTTTTGGTGGTGCATTTCTGCAGTGACGCCGTCGCGCATCCCGAGGCGTTGTCGGGCCGCGTCGTGCGCAAGAGCTGGGGGTGTGGACACATCGACGCCGAGTTCCTCTCGCGCACCAGCAGCGCCGGCAGTCCCACCATGCAGAGGATCGTCGATGAATTCGCCAAGACAGCCGACACCGTGAAATACAAGGGAGGCGACGAGCCCGTCCCTGCAGCCATCACCGACGACACATTCCCCGCCGCCCACACCCTGCAGCTGCTTGGCGGTGCCCTTGCCGATGACGCCAAGGAAGAGCGAGCGATCGAGATCGCCTCCCACATGCCCAGCCTTGCGCGCATCGATGTAGGAGACGCAATCTACGGAGCGCATCTGGACGCGCCCGCTGATGAGGTGTGGGTGTTCCTCGAGAGGCTACAGACGGCGCTGGTCAGCAGGGAGCGGGAGAAGAGCCTTTCGGTGGGTCTCGGTCTGCCGGCGAGTGCATTCCTCGAGCCCCTGAGCGACCAAGAGAGTCCCTGTCTGTGGGGGCGGGACAGCAATGACAAGCTGCCGCCGATCAAGGACGTGGCGATCAACGTGTTTGGTGAGGGGAGATAGGAGGAAATGGACAACCAGTACGCATGGCGTCTCAGTGTATTGTGTCTGTGTTCATGTGCTTCAGACGATGTAGCGGATGCAGGCGACCTGGAGACCTTCTACCAGCACGCGATGGCCTCGGTGGCGTCATTCAGCAACGAGCTCAAGGTGGGCCTCACACAACCCACACACAGATGATTCACTGCCGGGCGATATGTGTGTGCCCACTGTCATGTTGGCTGAATGAATGACAGGGTCACAAGAGGACCGGAGTATACTTTCACGAAAGTACTGATCTGTGCCAGGACTTCGAGCGGCGTTTTGTGGCTGAGCAGGGCGGCCTCAACTTCGCTGGCGGGCCGTACAAGTTCAGCTTCGTTGATGACACTTTCTCAGCGCCTCACCTGTTGGTCGAGCGCCGCACGTGACCCTCTAGGTGAGGACACCGAAGGAGATTGGCAAGAGGGCGGTCAGCCCCTGTCTGTCTCCCTCCCTCCCTATGTGTGTTGTCAGATCTGACGGCAGCTGTGGGTGCTGGCCTGGAGGGGGAGATGCTGCACGAGGGAGCAGCTGGTAGCGGGGTGTACAGATGGAGGATAGACAGACCGACCAACAGACACACAGACAGACAGACACACAGACAGACAGACAGACAGACAGACAGATAGACAGCATAGCTGGACCGAGGGGGCAGGGCCCCTCGGTCCAGCTATGCTGTCATGGGCGGGCCGGGCGGTGGCAGCTGCTTATGGATGGGTAGAGAGACGTTCCTCCCTCATTCATTCATCCATCCACGCTGGTTGGTGTGCGTGGGCAACTGCAGTGGAATGGATGTGTGCGTCAGTGCGGATCGGTCCCACTGCCTGCCTGCCTGGGTGGGTGGGTGAAGTGTTCTTTTCTCGCTTGCTGGCTCCCTCCTGTCTGCATGGCTTTTGCGTTGTCTGTCTCATGGTATCTCAGCGGCGGCTGTCACGCACCAGTGTCGGGTGTCATTGTGTGACTATCTGGTGACCGGTTGGATACGGGTGCTGCATTCCTACATGATGAACACTGGCTGAATTCATGAGCCCTGACGTGTTCACACACACACACACACACACAAAGTCGACAATTGGACACTAACCCACCACCGTATAACTTCCCATTTGCTGAGGAGAATGGCGTGTGCGAGGATTTAGACTCATTCCGATTCATCGCAGGGAGTGATTGCTGCCGCTTTTGCTGTCTGATAGCTTTGTGGCTGGTTCCCCACCACCAGCACGCCTGATGGACGTCAATCAGGTGAATGTGCGGACGCGGGAGGGCTCACAAGGGCTCACAAGACAGAGGATGACAGACGAGCACAGCAGAGAGAATGCAGGCAGAGAAAGCCGCCTTTGCCATGCTTTCGACCACTCTGATCTGCTGTTCTGGCATGGTTGCAGGGGGTCTCTTACGGTTCGTCGCGGCTTGTTCTTAGCAGCATAAGAGCGGCGCCATGAGTGTAGCTCAGGTGAGCGGCGGCCTGGCGGCCAGGAGAGGGCAGCATCTCCCATTCACCGCCGGGTGTGTCCTTGTGTGTGCTGTGTGTGGTGTTCAGTTGAAGCAGCAGGCGGCGGGCGTCAAGCAGGGCTTGGACCAGCTGCTCCAGCTCCACTCGGAGGTAGCAAGGGCTGACACAACTGACAGGCCTGACATCTCATTGGTTGAATCGTGTATGTGTTGTTCGCTGCCATGTTCTGTCGGTGAGTCAGGTGGGTGCATCTGTGTCCCAGATCAACCAGCTGGACCCTGCCTATCACCCTGCCGAGGTACACACATAGCCTGCACAAGGCCACCGAGGAAGGCGTTCCACCAGATGGTGTCTGCTGTTCCCTCTGCTGCTGGACAACCGCAGGCGTCATCGAATGAGTCGCTGCAGGTGCACGTGCAGCTGTCCCTCGCCGCCGCCCATGTCAACAGCGCCGTCACTCAGCTGTCGTCCGTCAGGTCGGGCCTCTCGGGAGCCGTTGGTGCGCTGAGGGCGACAGGCGCACCACCACCAGTCATTAGCTCGGCAGCTGAAGGGACCGATCAACAGCCACAGGTACAGATCATGCAATGCACAGAGTCAGTAGAAAGCATTTCATCGATTGCCCCCCCATGTGTTGGTCACAGACCCGGCGCCCATCGTATCGTCTGATCCATCGAAGCGGCAACCCTCCCCCCGTCCACCAAGGACCGGTCAGACTGACCATGACAGATCTGATACACCGAACCATCTTGACCTTACTTTGATGTCATGTTGGTTGCCACATCAGGCCCGTCGTCGGCTGTCCCGTGACGAGTTGGCCAACGTCTTCGGCCACCTGCAGCCCTGGGAGCTGACGCGCCACCGCCGGCCCCTCGGCACGCCCCTCTTCCATCAGTCGGCCGCCAACTACACCCACCTGGTCATCGACTGTGAGGACGACACGGCGCGGCGCATGTGGGAGACCATGCCGCTGGCCGTGGCACACAAGTGGGGCAAGAGGGCGACCAACGTGCGAGAGATCAAGCACCGCCACCCGGCGATGCGAGACGGATGGTGTCGCGGGACGTGGGTGACGCTAGTGGAGGGTCATGCCATCGGGCGGGCGGTCATCGCAGACAAGAAGCGACGGGAGAGGGAGGGCGGGGAGGGCACAGCTGCTGCCGCGGCAGAGCAAGAGGACGATGGCAGCTGGTCGGCTGACGAGGGCACACTGGAGGTGCTGTCATTCGAGGAGGTCAAGCTCAACCACAGCATTGACATCCCCTACCCTGTCCCCTCATCTGCCCTGCCCGCCGCCCCCGTCCACCTGCCCGCACTCAAGACCGTCGACAACATACCCGGCGAGTACATGAAGACTCGCGTCGGCCGCCAGTGGCTGACGCCCGCTGTCAGGACGCTCATCATTCGAGACCCCTTAGCTGAGGTGGCGGGTGCGAGGGCATGGGTGGCCGACTGTGAGGCCATTGAGGTGCTCCAACGCCGTGGGTGGGGCGCTGAGGATGCGACGAATATGCTGAGTGCGCTGCCCGCCGACGGGAAGTCGTTCGCAGCGCTTCACACACTGCGCGGCATCCGGCTGGGTTTTGGTACCCCCGCCGAGATCGACAGGCTGCGTGAGGTGCTGGTGGCAAGAGGCGTCAGGCGGTCCATTCGCGAGCTCAAGATCGTGTGGAACACACTGAGCAACACAGACGAGGACTGGGAGAGACTGCAGAAGACCGCACAGCTCGTGTAAGGACATATGAGCAGAGGAGGAAGTTCAGCTCTGCGTGGCATATACCAGATGTGCTCGTCTTCTGGTGCATTACTGCAGAGACGCCGTCGCGCATTCCGAAGCTCTGTCGAGGCGCGTTGTGGGCAACATCAGGGGGCGTGGAAGGATCGACGACGAGCTCCTCTCGCGCACCAGCAGCGGCGGCACTCCCACCATGCAGAGGATCATGCACGAATTCGCCAAGACAGCCGGCATGGTGACTTACAGCGGAGAGGACGAGGCCACCCCGCCGGCCATCTCGGACGACACATTCCTCGCCGCCCACACCCTGCTGCTGCTGAACGTTGCCCTCGACGATGAGGCCAAGAAGAAGCGGGCGGTCGAGATCGCCTCACACATGCCCAGCCTGTCGTATATCGAGGCAGGAGACTACCAGAACGATGTGCCGCTGGATGCACCCGTCCGTGAGGTGTGGCGGTTCCTCGAGAAGCTGCAGACGGTGCTGGTCAGCAAGGGGAGGCAGAACATCCTGACGCTGTACCTTGCCGTATCTGCCGCCGACTTCACAGCACCCCTCAGCCATGGCCGGAGCCCATCGCTGTGGGGTCAGGGCGTGAACGCCAAGCGGCCGCCGATCGAGAAAGTGTATGTCTCTGTTGATGGTGAGCGGGAATGGGAATAAGCAGGGACCGCCATTGGCCGTGTCGTCTCTATATGACGGTAATGTTTGTCGTTCAGGCCATGTAGAGGAAGACAAGCTGGAGAGATTCTACCAGCACGCGATGGCCTCGATCAACTCATACAACCACAAGCTCAAGGTGCGCCGCGCACCACCCACACACAGATGACTCACTGCCGGGCGATGTGTGTGTGCCCTTTCTCGTGTTGCTTGAATGAATGACAGGGCCACAAGAGGACCGAAGTGTGCTTTATGGACGACGCCGTGGGCACCGACTTCGACCGGCGCTTCCTGGCTCAGCAGATTAGCCTCAACTTCAGCGGCGGGCCATACGAGTTCAGCTTCAATGCCGACGGGATGGTTGCAGAGCGCCGCGACGTGGAGGTAGGGACAACGGCTCATACACAAAGCGTTTGCACCCCCCCGAAGTGCCTTGAGCGTCTGTCAACCTGTGTGCGCTGTGCTCTGCTGTGCTGTGCTGTCCTGAGTCAGATCGGCACAGAAGGATGACACCGGTAGAGCTGGCCACTTGTGGGTGGATGGATGGATGGCTGCTGCCGTGAGTGAGCAGCTTGATGGCGTGTACAGGCGGTGGACAGTGGACAGGTAGATAGACAGACAGTTAGACCCCTAGATCGACGGCCGGATGGAGGGGTACTTTACTCATCCATCGCTCATGCCCACCACGGCCCAGACACGACAGGCCTGTGGGCGATTCTGCATGTGTAACTGCTTGTTTTCTTGCTTGATGCGTGCGTGCATTGCTGTTGGTGTCCATGACCTTCCTGCCGCATCACTGATGTGCGTGTGAATGAAAGTGCATGCATCTGTGCCTTCCCAAATCAAAGCAAGTCAGGGCCTCTATAGGAAGGCGTGTTAGGTATTGCAATTCAACACTTGTCGTTAATGTACACACACGCTGCACGTCACCCTGGTCCCTCACACCTCACAGACACTCCAGTTAATCACCTCCTCCCATAGTAGCTACCATCACGATGCCCCCGTCCCTCTCCCACCCATCCCTCTGCCGATATCTCCGATCACGGTTGCCGCGCAAATCGCGGTCAGGTGTGTGGCGGCGCCTGTCACGGTCTTGCACGGGCTGCCGACGGGGTGGCGGGGCATAAAGCTCAATCGGCTCCTCCTGCACAACCACAAGAGACATCCATAGGTGGATGGCAGGCAGGCCTGTTGTGTGCGTGTGTGAACATCGGTAAGCACATTTTGAGGTGCCCGTGAATGTCGCATTCATTCTTCATACTGAATGAATGCTTACTGATCAGCTATGCCCTTGCAACTGTGACACATACACACGGACGTACTGACAAGAGAGACAAGATTAGATATAGCCGGAAACCCCACACGGCACAACACATGAGCCGCAACACATGACCACCGTCGACATGCAATTTTGGGCCCTGCATTCAGGAGGCAAAACACACAAACAAGCACGTGCAGTGATTGCTTGTGTTGCTTGTCTGCGTGTCTCTGTGTCCGTCTGTGTGTATCTCGACCCAGCAGGCTTTTCCCGCACACTCATCCGTGATGCTGTCTTGGCCATTCTCAAGGGGGATGCAGGGAGGCGGCGCACTCATGCGTCTGTTGTGCTGTCAGTGGCTGGCACATGTCCTTCTATGTGTGTGTGGTGCATGCCATGGATGGGTGAGAGAGCCCAAGAGAGACGAAGACGGACAGAGAAACACCAGAGACAGACAGCAATTCCGACAAAACGGACAGCAGGCAGTAATTCACGTACGTGTCCATCCCATCGACACATGCAGACACAGCGCAGCCTGTGTGTGCCTTCTCTCGCCTTCCAGGCACCGACATACAGACATATGTGGACACGATGTCTGTCTACATGCTTGTGTATGGCAGTGGACATCGCTTCCATGATGAAAGAGTACTTACGTCTGACCAGTTCGTTCTCATGAATGCGGCGAGCCACTCAACATCCGCCATCCATTTGTTTGCAATTGCTCCAGCCACCCAGCCACCCACCCAGCCACCCAGCCACCACGCACCACGCACCTTGCCGGCGACACCGTCCCGTCTTCATATCCTTCTACACCAGCGACACATAGCGCTGGACAAACGCACACAAACCAATGGCATGCAGCAAATGTCTGGCTGCACGCCGAATAGCTGTATGGCTCACCACTCCGAATATTTTTTTCTGTCTGGTGTGTCCGCTGGCGTCCTTGGTGACCTCATACAGGTCCTGCGGGCCTTCCTTTGGACCCACAGGGATCACCATCTTGCCACCTGCATCCACCCCAGGCACCAATCGCAATGGTGAGTGAGACATTTGCAGCACTCTTTGGCGGCACGTACCAGGTTTGAGCTGGTCGATCAAAGCCTAGCAGGGGCAAGAAACACACGATCCAATACGTGCGAGAAAGGCCGTCATTCTGCATCCGTCCGATGTCTCACTTGTGGTGGGACGGAGGGAGCGGCGGCTGCCACGTGTATGGCGTCGTAGGGAGCGAAAGGAGGAAAGCCCTTCCGCGCGTCGCC